TCTCTCTCTCTCTCTCTCTCTCTCTCTCTCTCTCTCTCTCTCTCTCTCTCTCTCTGTCACACACGCGCGCTTTCGTCATTTCTCTTTGCGTTCATTCTGTTTTTTAGTCGCGTTCATTCTGTTCATCTGAGTGAATGACTAAGAGGTTTTCTGTTCAGTTGTCCGTCGCTGTTCAGGTTCGATGTTCACTTTGGGAGCAAGTGATACTATCATTTGTTTGTTGATTGTTGCAAGACAAATAAAATAGCAGATTGTAAGAAAAGAACATAATCGAATAATAAAATAATAAGATTGTAAGAAAAGAACATAATCATTGATCGAAAAATAAAAAATAATAATAATAAATAATACAAATACAAATAAAGAATTAGCAATAATTGATATCGGTATTAATTACACTAATATCAAATAACAGGAAAACAATGATAATAACAAGGACATTATCAGTAACAATACTAAATAATAATATAACAGGAACAACAACAACAGTAACAATAATAACAACAGTAACAAGAATAATAACAACGGTAGCAAAAAAACAATATAACAAAAACAAGAATAATGACAATAGCAAAGATGATAACAGCAGCAAAAGTAATAACAGAAGCACGGATAATAACAATAACAACAACTACAATAAGACTACCCTACCTCCCCCTGGATAATAACATAACAACAACTACAACAAGACTACCCTACCCCCCCCCCATGGATAATAACAATAACAGCAACTACAATAAGACTACCCTCCCCCCGTGGATAATAACCAACTACAATAAGACTACCCTACCCCCTGGATAATAACAATACAACAACTACAATAAGACTACCCCCCCCCCCCCCCCAGTAAAATCCTTCTTACACCAAAGGACCGAAGAAGGACAGACAGACACAGACACGCACCCATCTCTTCCTCGGACGAGTATTCTGTCGGAATCTCATTTGCATATCATCTGATTCGGATTCGCTATTCCTTCTGGCTCGGGATTCGACTTACTGGAGACACCTGCTGCTCTCGAGGTCGTATCTCTCTGAATTGTAAAATACGGCTGCTCTCGAGGTCGTATCTCTCTGAATTGTAAAATACGGCTGCTCTCGAGGTCGTATCTCCTCTGAATTGTAAATACGGCTGCTCTCGAGGTCGTATCTCTCTGAATTGTAAAATACGACGTCTGACTGAAAGTACGTGCGTGTGTGTGTAAGTATGCTGTTTATATATGTTTATGCATGCTGTGTTTGTAAGTATGCTGTGTTTGTAAGTGTGCAATTCCCCTGTTTGTATGCGTGTGTGTGCTGAACACCTGTATTGCTCTATATAATTGTCTTTCCCCGCCTCTAAACAAGCCTGACCCCACAGCTGACCCCTGCCAGATGGTCAATCCCCCCCCCCTCCTCCTCAAGCATCCCTCCTCTTCTCCCCCTCCCCCTCTCTCTCCTACAGCCCGCCCCTCTCCCCTCTCCCCCTCCTGGTGGAGAACCCGGCCTTATATGGGCATGCAGAGTTACGTGTGGGTCCTGGGCATCTTCCCACAGGTTGGGGAGATTTAACACGGGGTCTTCGAGGTATCTAAAGAGCAGGTTATCCAGCTCTATTATTTACCTTCTGTCTCTAATCCTTTGTCATTTCTTTTCGAGGTTATAGGCCTATTTTGTGTTGTGGTTGTTGTGAGAATTCCACTGTTTTTATTGTATCTCCTAACTGCAATTCTGTGAAAACGATTTTGATGATGCTTGCGGATCCAAATATAAATAAATGATTGAAACACACACCCTGCTCATGCCCACACGAATGATACATACACACATACCCTGATACATGCGTACACACATACATATCAGATTTTAATATGTATATACTCGTATATCTGACAAACTGAAATTTATTTTTCTCGTAACTTTATTCCCAAATCACTTATTCATTTTCAGATCTCAAACTCACTCTATAGTAATTTTTCTATTTTCTTTGCACTAACATTCAATATTTACCAATATATGTTTCGAGTTTGTAAACATACACATATCTAGTTTAATTCTTTGGATTAATTTCATACGAAAACATGTCACTCTTATAGCATATGAATATTTTATTTTCTATAGATCTTACACCACTATTCGATTTTATGTTGAGCGTCCATGGAAAATTATCTCTCTCGCAAACTCATCTTCCAAAAAATCCGGAAATGCTTCACAGAAATTAATGATATCACTTTTCCATTTTTTTTTTAATCTCTCGCCAAAATACAGTTCAACCAGTTTCAAAACACTCGTACCGACTTATATATACTTCTCGCTTCCAGATGCTATTTCCCAAAAATATATAAAAAATATGAATAAAAGTCCGGGTGGAGTGTCAGGGCAAGAGGAGCGAGAGAGAGAGAAAAAAAAATCCGAGTCCAGACGCAGCGCCTCTCTCCTCCACCTGCCCGACGCACACTAAGCCTCACCCCGCTCGCTCACCCATACTTATAATATACCTTTACCTGCCCGCTGGCGACACACCCACCACTAACACCACCTACCCGGGTCCTGGTGTTCAAATAACGATTCTGAGGGGTTTAATACTTGAATCTGGTGTATAAAAAGCTCATATATAGGTATATAAACAACTTATAAACTGGCAAGCATCGACAAAAACACACGAACAAAGACAGATGTTTAAGCCCAAAAGACAAACGTACTTGCATATAATTATTGGTGACCGTGAGGGTCTCTGTCTTTGTCTCTATCTCTCATTCACTCTTTCTGTCTGTCTCTTCTACAGTGTAGTATGTCTAATTATCTCTCTCTCTACGTCTGTCACATTCTTCCCTCGCTTAAAATTTGTCTGTCTCTTCCTAAAAGTAAGTCTGATCAACATCGTAACTAAAATAATACTTCTCGCAATCACTTCATCAACAGTTTTAAGAAAAGTATCATAAATCATGGATCACTTTATCTCTCAATCAGTGTTAAGCCCCAAAGACAATCTTTATACCTACGGTCCAAGAATATTGTCCATCAGCTGCCTGGACAAGCTGGAAAAGTGTCACTCACACAACACAACCCATTAAAAATACCCATTACTGTCCCGTGATAAAATCGAGGGATAACGTTAAAAAAAATGAAACAAGGTATATTTTGCAAGATAATTGTATTTCCTTAGAGCTTAATTATTTTAAAGGGTATATTTTGCAAGATAACTTTATTTCTTCGGAGCATGTGGAACATTTACCGAGTATAAGAAGTTGTTTAGAAATCTCACTCCATTATAATCACTTTTTAGGTAATCAAATGAATATGAACACAAATTGTATCAATAATAAACAAATAATGAAACAGTATAAAAAACAAATTTCACAGAGTACCAATTTTGGTACATCTACCGCCTTAGCAAACACATTTTATGTTCTATCTAAACTGAGATGTAAATACAAAAACCTACGGGATATACACGCCACTTTCCAAACAAAAAAAATATAACACCAGCTGCTTTCTAGTTATAAGAATAAGACGAGAAAAACAGAAGTAACTTTGATGCTAATAATGATGACAACGAGCGTAATAGTTATAAACAAACTAAATGTATAGTAATAGTAATAAACAAATAGTAATAGTTATAAACAAACTAACTGTAGCCTGACGTAATAATATTCTGTCGTGAACTTCAATCAAAAGATAATTTCATCTCATAAAAAAGGCGGGAAACAAATGAAAAGGCTAAAAGCTAGTGAGCTAAAAATTCAAAATACACAAATTTAACGGCTTCATCATCTTATCTATTGCTTTACACTTTTGGACTTCGATGCAACTTTCAAAGTACATTTATTATCACTCGTTAATGTTTTCCTTTGAACAAAACCAAATAGATCTGTGACAAATATGATAGATAACAGTTAATCGATCTGTACATGTAAATTGTAAGAAAATAAAAAAATGTCCATATTTTTTAGCATGATACCAATACAAAAATAATAATAATAATATAATAATAATAATAATATAATAATAATACAAGATCCTTACACCGTTTTATGCACAGTACTTCTGCTTTAATTCACCTGTGCATAGAGTTGAATGTCCCTTGATTTACGTCGCGACGGAAAATTTAAACGTATCACGCTGTTTTGTAATTATCGTACATCAGACACCGCAATCGTATTCCAACTAATTACAAAGTATAATTCCAAAATACTGTATCAAAATTGAATTAAAAGAAATCATAAAGAAAAAAAAACACGAGGTTATATTAACACCAATGAAATTTACTGAATCTGCATAGCAACCAAAACAATTTCAGTCGTTATCTCCTGAAGCCGGGGTTGAATATATATATATATAAAAAATCCTCCAATCGCTTATATTTTTCCTTGAATCAGAACTAAAAAGAAGTAAACTATGCATCGACCTCGTAAATCTAATAGAAGCAACAGGCATAATGTTTATACACATGCTCCCTTCCCGCCATTTTTCTTTCCCTCACAGGTTAACCGTTTCACTTAATTCTTGCCCAAACTATCCACCAAAGTTCTTGACGACTCTTATAACTGCCCTAACATACTATAAGAATGATAAATAATATAGGAATAATAATGATAGACATAACAATAACAGCATAGAACAGGGTCGAACTCAAAAACCCAAGTTTCCCAAAGTTTTAAATACTAAAACTGGTATAATATAATTGTACGTAAAGTTGATTTTACTTACTGTATGTACGCTTCAGATTCAAATGTAAAATACTAAAACTGGTATAATATAATTGTACGTAAAGTTGATTTTACTTACTAGATTTTAGATGGTGATACCAAATGGTAACAAGTTGTATACGACGAAATTTTCCTTCATAGGAATCATAATTTCACAACCTAATAATCTTTCATGATCATTTCAGGGGACACAATTAGAGAAAAAAGGAGGATGAATATGGTTCCACCTTTTAAAATCTCCTCAAAGATAACATAAGAAATAACGATAACAAAGAAAGTGGCTCTAAACAAATAAGATTCATAAGCAACACGCAAATACACAAGTAAACAACCAGATATATAAACACCCAACAAACATAATAAAGTAAAAGAAAACTAATCATTACAAAAATATATAAAATATACCCCTCTTAAAACAAACAAATAAAATAACAACTCTCTTAAACAAACACACAAATACAATAATAACTCTTAAAACAAAAAAATAAAAATGATAACACTCAAAACAAACAAAACAATAACTCTCCTAAAACAAACAAACAAAACAATAAAAAAACAAACAAAAAAACAAAAAACAAAAACAAAACAAACAAAACAAACAAAACTCTCCTAAAACAAACAAACAATAACAAACAACAACAAAAACAAAACAAATCTCCTAAAACAAACAACCAAAAACAACAACTCTCCCAAAACAACCAAACAAACAAAACAACAACTCTCCTAAAACAAACAACCAAAACAACACATACCCTTGCACTCGTGGGCATCCGTCGCCGTGGCACGTGCCCAGGGAGCGTCGTTATAAAATGGCAGGCACTCGTTGCAGTCGTTCCCGGCCGTGTTGTGCTCGCAGCGGCACACGAGCTCGACCTCGCCTCCCAGCCCCGTCGAAGCCACGCACTCGGAGGCGTGGCCGTTGCACTTGCATCTGCAATGGAGGAGGTGGAGGTTGGGGGTGGAGAGGGGCTAAAAGAAATAACAATAAAAACAATAAAAGAAATAAAATATAAAACAATAAAAATAAAAAAAATAAAAAAATAAACAATAAAAGAAATAAAATATAAAACAATAAAATAAATAAAATATATAAAAACAATAAAAGAAATAAAATATAAAAAACTAAAAGAAATAAAATAAAAAACATAAAAGAAATAAAAATAAAAGAAAATAATAAAAAAATAAAAAATAAAAATAAAAACAATAAAAGAAATAAAATATAAAAATAATAATAAAAAACAATGATGAGTAATCATAGCGTGGCTTGTTTATTCGAGAATGTACTGGGTTTTAGAGGTGTTATTATGGGGAATGTGTGATTAAAAAGAGAAAAATACGTGTGTGATTAAAAAAAGGTGATGTACATTTCTAAATATGTGATTAATAGGAGAAAAATACGTTACATTTCTACACATTCTAATATGTGATTAAAAAGAAAAAAAAGTGTGATTAAAAAGAGAAAAATACGTTACATTTCTAAATATGTATTAATAAGAGAAAAAAATTTTACATTTCTAATATGTGATTAAAGAAAGGAAAAAAAAAACGTGAAAAAAAATACATTTCTAAATATGTGATTATAAAAGAAAAAATCATTACATTTCTATATATGTGATTAAAAAAAGAAAGAAAGGAAAAAAAACGTTACATTTCTGTATGTGAATAATCCATATTTGCTTTGAAAACTGCACTTGTCACGTTTATGATATTCAAGCTATATACAATGAGAGACACAAACACACATTCAGTCACTGTGAACACACCGAATAGAGATGACACTTGTGGAACTTAATTTACATATACGAATATTTTACATATTAATTCTATGTATGTAATGTCTACCTAAAGTCCACAATTAAGTTTAATTCAATTGGCTTTACTTAATTTTGTCTCCTCATCACTGACTGCCAAATTTTCATGAAACTGAAATTAAGAGTTTATACGACATATGATCTTCATACAAATATAATGGAATATTTATGCATGAATTATATTATGATGAATATATTGTGTATGGAGTATGATATAATATGTAGCCAGACAATGCATTTTTGGATTTAATACTTTATCGCAAGTTGATAACAATCAAGATATTAACTTTGGGTAAAAATGCGCACCCTAATTTTTAAAAGCCAGACAAGCTAATCAGAAAAAAAACAAATAAAATCTGCCCGATGAAATATAATTATGATGTTTAAAGGAAGAAAATCTAAACTGCTTTGATGTTTACTAAAAAGAGAGGAAATTGTGTATATAATAATGGGGAAGAAAAACAATAAAAAAACACGCCAGTCTAGAATAATAAAGGTTAATACAAATCAAAATCATTTTGCAATGGAGAATGGTATTGCAATCATTTCCCATTTATCGAATTCTCTGGCAAAGCATCATTACTGTCAGCATCATGAACTATACAAATAATTCCGAAAGTGGGCGGTTTCTAAGGGGCGTTGTTATGGCTCTGGGCGGCGGCGAGGCAATTTCGATACAATTTCGAGAAGGAAAGGTCTCCTGTTATCTTGGTTATAATCATACAATAACTATCGAATATAAACACCATTTGCATATATTTTAGTATTTATTGAAATAAACGTCACAAATTAATAGTTCTTGTAGTTGGTTTCTTACTTATTTTCAATTCTTTATAGTTAGCCTTTCACTATACGTTTTCTACGATACCAGTATACAGAAAACGTAGATTTGAGGGGTAACTTCTACATATATATTATTAAGTAAATAAAATAATTTATGATTTCTCTAAATATCTTCGCAAAACCGACTTTGGTATCAATGGATTCCTTCACCTTCTAGAATACATATATATAGAAATTAGGCCGTGGAACCCCCTAAACCCCCACATTTTTGGTCCCGATAGCAGGGGAGGACATGCAAGGTACCGGGAGAATTGCGGAGTAAAATATGAATAATACACAGAGTCAGTCACTATATTGTCTAATGCATGGTGGTTGCTGCTCCTCAACCCTCGCCCAGGAATACAAAGAATCCTCCACATATTCACGGCACGATAAAGTGTCAGACAAACTCGAAATTGGACGCTCCTGCATGTCGGTCGTGAATAATTGGAGGATTCTTTGTCCTCCATTGCGCGGCGACAGATCCACAGGAGGGGGTCAGAGGGGGCACAGTCCCCTGCATGCGAATTTACCGCGCAATTTGCATGTCCTCCACTACTATCGGGGCCAAGACTGTCGCCAATAGGGGGGGTTTTCCGATATATTTCGATATATTTAAAAAGCAGCGAGCGAGAAGGATCCATCGATACCAAAAACCATCGCGATCCGTTAAGCGAAAGTATTCTAAAAAAAAAAATTACCCATATACTAATATATATACTAAAATATACTAAAATATATCTAATAAAAAATAAAAAATAAAACAAAATATACTAAAATATACTAAAATATATCTAATAAAAAATAAAAAATAAAACAAAATATACTGAAATATACTGAACACAGCTTCGCCATCCGATCAAACCAGACTCTCCCGCCAAACGAATTCACAAAAAAACAAAAACAAAAAAAAAAAAAAAAAAACAAAAAATTCACAAAAAAAAATAAAAAAAAAAAAAAAAAATAATAAAATAAAAAAAAATCACACACACACAAACACACACAAAAAAACGAATTAACGAAAAAGCTCACCTGCCACCGACGGCGAAATCAGTGATGGCGTAGAAGTAGGACTTGAGTACCCGAGGATCACCGAACACCTCGTCTCTGAAGGTGTTGAGGCGGTCGAGCACAATGCGGATGGCTTTGGCCGAGACCCAGTCCTGGAGGGCGAGGTTGGAGGACGACTTACGACTTTGAAGGAGTTTATTCGGACAGAAAACTTGCGTCTCAAAAGGATGAGTGAGAGATGAGGGTGATGTGAAGAATGAGGGGGTTGGAAAAATGAGAATGATAAAAAAGTGATGTTTTTGATTAAAGGATTAACATTAACATTCTAAATTAACATTCTATTTAAACATTTAAATTAAACATTAACATTCTAAATTAAACATTAACATTCTAAATTAACCATATAAAAAGAAGCTCCCTCCCCCCATAAATAAAAAAGAAGCTCCCTCCCCCCACCTCTCCCTACTCCCTACCTCCCACCTCTCCTACCTCCCCACCCCCCCTCACCTCTCCCTACCCCCTCTCCCCCACCTCATCCCCACCTCTCCCTACCCTTCCCCCTCCCACCTCCCCCAACCTTACCTGCAGCTGGGCGCTCTTCTCGAAGTTGTAAGCCGACGGTCTCCCTCCAGCGTGGAGACCCTCCCCTCCCTCCCTACCTCCCCCACCTCATCCTCCCCCTCTCCCTACCTCCTACCCACCTCCCCCTCCCCCCACCTCTCCCCCCCCCCCCCCCAACCTTACCTTGCAGCTCGGCGCTCTTCTCGAAGTTGTAAGCCGACGGTCCTCCCTTCCAGGGTGAGACCCTCCCCCTACCTCCCTACCTCCCCCTCATCCCTCCCCTCTCCCTACCTCCTACCCTCCCCCCTCCCTCCCCCACCTCCCCCCCCCCCCCCCCAACTCCTGCAGCTCGGCGCTCTTCTCGAAGTTGTAAGCCGACGGTCTCCCTTCCAGGGTGGAGACCCCCCCTACCTCCCTACCTCCCCCCATCTCTTCCCCTCCCAACCCCCCCTCTCCCTCCCTACCCACCTCCCCCACCAACCCAACCCCCCCAACCTTACCTGCAGCTCGGCGCTCTTCTCGAAGTTGTAAGCCGACGGTCTCCCTCCAGCGTGGAGACCCTCCCCCTACCTCCCTACCTCATCTCTTCCCCCACCTCCCCCTCCACCTTCCCTTCCCCCTCCCAACCCCCTCTCCTCCCTACCCACCTCCCCCCCACTCCCCCTCCCCCCCAACCTTACTGCAGCTCGGCGCTCTTCTCGAAGTTGTAAGCCGACGGTCTCCCTCCAGCGTGGAGACCCTCCCCCTACCTCCCTACCCTACCCCCTCTTCCCCACCTCCCCCTCCACCTCTCCCTTCCCCCCTCCCAACCCCCCTCTCCCCCTACCCACCTCCCCCCCACCCACTCCCCCCCTCCCCCCCAACCTTACCTGCAGCTCGGCGCTCTTCTCGAAGTTGTAAGCCGACGGTCTCCCTCCAGCGTGGAGACCCTCCCCCTACCTCCCTACCCTACCCCATCTCTTCCCCTCCCCACCCAACCTCCCCAACCACCCTACCCCCACCCAACCCTCTCCCTTCCCCCCCTCCCCACCCCCTTCCCCCCACCTTACCTGCAGCTCGGCGCTCTTCTCGAAGTTGTAAGCCGACGGTCTCCCCTCCAGCGTGGAGACCCTCCCCCTACCTCCCCCATCTCTTCCCCCTCCAACCCTCCCCTTACCTCCCACCCCCACTCTCCTACCTCCCTCCCCTACCTCCCCCCTCTCCCTCCTCCCATCCCAACCTCCCTCCCCCAACCTCACCTGCAGCTCGGCGCTCTTCTCGAAGTTGTAAGCCGACGGCCTCCCCTCGAGCGTGGAAAAGCGACGTTCCCCCCAGTCAGCGGCGAGATGTCGGAGAACTCGGACGTGCAGAGGGCGCGGGTCTCGTCCTCGCGCCGCACGTAGTTCGAGTCCGGGATCCCGTAGGTGTCGCGGCAGGTGGCGCTGCAGGAGGAAGAGGAGAAGAGGAGAGGAGGAGGAGAGGAGGGGGAGATAAGGTGGTTAGTATGGTAGTTAGGGTAGTAGTTATTTCTCTCTCTCTCTTACTCCTTCTCTTAGTCTCTCTCCTACTCTCTCTCTCTCTCTCTCTCTCTTACTCCTTCTCTTAGTCTCTCTCACTTACTCTCTCTCTTACTCACTCTCACTCTCTCTCTCTTACTCGCTCTCTCTCTCACTCTCTATCTCTTACTCGCTGTATCTCTCTATCTCTCTCTCTCTCTCTCTCTCTCTCTATCTATCTATCTCTCTCTCTCTCTCTCTCTCTCCTACTCTCTCTCTTACTCCTTCTCTCAGTCTCTCTCCCTTACTCTTCCTCTCAGTCCCTCTCTCTCTCTGAAACTCCCACTCTCTCTCACTCCCTCTCTCTCTCTCAAAACAAAAAAAAAAAACAACAAACATCCCCAAACAAGGCCCACCCACCTGTAATACTGATAGGGCACCCACTCCTTGTCGTCGTCGGTCCGTTTGAAGATGGCGAAGGACTCGGGTCGTGGCGAGTGGTAGAACAGCCGTACGTACGTGATGTCAAAGGTCTTGCCTGTGGAGGAGGGAGGAGGAGGGAGGAGGACCGTGAGTAAACCGGGAGAAGGTGGATAAATAGGTAGATAAATAAGTATATAATAAGTAAACAGATAAGTAAATAATAGTAGATAATGAGTTAATGAGTAGATAGATGAGTAAATAATGATTCAATTGATAAGTAAATAATAATTTGATTAATAAGTAAATACTATTTTGATTAATAAGTAAATAATAACTCAATAAATAAATAAATAATATTTTGATTAGTAAGTAAATAATAATTTGATTAATAAGTAAATAATAATTTGATTAATAAGTAAATAATAATTTGATTAATAAGTAAATAATATTTTGATTAATAAGTAAATAATATTTTGATTAATAAGTAAAATAATAGATAATAATAAGATTAATAAGTAATAATAATTTGATTAATAATAATAATAATTTGATTAACATGTAAATAATAATTAAATTAATAATTTTATATAAGTAAATATATAAGTAGATAATAATCTAATTAATAAGTAAATAATAATTAAATTAATGATTTTATATAAGTAAATAATGAGTAAATAATAAGCAAATTAATAAGTATATATGTGAATAATAAGTAAATAAGTAAACAGACAAACAGAAAATAAGTAAATAGATAATCAAACATGTAAATAAATAAATAAACAAATAAATATGTAAATAATAAGTAAATAACTAAGTAAATAGACAGATAAATAAACAAATCAAGGACAAAAGAAAAGAAGACACAATGAAAGAATGAATGAAAATTAAAGGAAGGAAGGAGGGAAAGAGAAAAGGAAGGAGGGAAAGAAAGAAAGGAGGAGGGAAGGAAGGAGGGAAAGAGGAAAGGAGGGAGGGAAGGAGAGAAGGAAGGAGGGAAAGAAAGAAAGGAGGGAAAGAAAGAAGGAGGGAAGGAGAGGAGAGAAGGAAGGAGGGAAAGAAACAAAGGAGGGAAGGAGGGAAGAAAAGAGAAAGAGAAATAAAGAAGGAGGATTGTGAGAATACCCTAGGAAGAAAAGATTTGGAAAGAAGGAAGAAATGACGAAAAAAATAAAGAATGACACTTAAAGAAAGATTAAAAAGAAAAGAAGAGAGAGAGAGGATAGATGAAGAAGAAGAAAGAAGAAAAGAAAGAGAAAAAAAGACAGTATAAACAGACACACGCACATCTATTTATCTATCAACATATCTGTCAATCTATCTATCTATATCTATATCTATCTATCTATCTATCTATATCTACATATCTATATTTATATCTACCTCTCTATCTATCTATATCTACATATCTATATCTACCTATCTCTCCATCTACCTTATCTATCTATCTTATCTACTATATATATATCTACCTATATCTACTCTCTATCTACCTTATCTATCTATCTATCTACCTATATATATCTACCTATATCTACCCATAATTACCTTATCTATCCATCTATCTATATATATCTACATATCTATATCTACCCATGTCTCTATCTACCTTATCTATCTATCTATCTGAGCCTATATCGCGAGACAAGAAGCGGTTATGTCATAAAGGAATATAAAGGAATGTCATAATTATTTGTTAAGGTCAAGTTGGTCAT